GAAACGCTGTTGGACCGGCTCCTGGAATGCCCACAGATTCGATACCAGTCCCCACTTTTTTATTGTTTTAATTTAGAAAAGGCTGGTGAAAGTAATATGGTTCGCGGTGGTTGCTAGCAGGGAAACGATCCAATTAGCCTGCGAACCGCAGACGTATTTCCGGTCGTCGCTTCTCTCCCTTTTTTGGAGGGAGAGAGCGACGACCGGAAATACGTCTGCGGTTCGCAGGCTACGATTCAATGGGCCATTTCCGAAATCGAAAAATTCTCACCTTCAAAAGGAAGCTAAATGCAAAACCTTTCTTGCGAAAATGAGTTTTATTTGCATGAGAATATAAAATCATTTTCACATCAATGGCTTCACACTTAGCCTCGCTTTGAAACAGAGGCTTGGGACGACACGGAAATGGCCTGTACGTTTACAACACATTTGTACAAGGAGCCACTGGGCACAAGACTGAAATTTCTGTCCAAATAATCGATTCAGTTCAGTAACAAAAAAATAAATAGGGGTTTGCGATTATAACAGAACAATTCAACAGGTCGAAATTATGTTAGAAGTACAAAACTATTGAATTTGTATCTTGGATCAAAAAAATAAGACTGGAATTTATTTTAAAACACCCTTTGCAAAGTAGTTTCATCTCAGATTCTTTTTTTAAGGTAAATTCTGAACTTAGGTTTTACAAACTCTTCACAACGATAAAGTGACGAATAGCTGTACACGATACTTAACAGCTTTACCACGGTCTCTGCTAACTTTACAATAAATACACCAAGAAAATATGATATGCTTTATGCAGTGGTCAAAAGAAGCCCTCGAGCCAATAGTCCAGATTATTATTCATTCAAAATATTTCGCCGTTTCTGATTGGTTCCAAGCCCCCAGCTAATTCTTCGTTACCAACTGGCGCTTGCCATATTTGGAAGATGCGAGCAATATAGCATCGATTCGACGGTATATTTGATTGGAAACGAGGTTGATCGATGGTATAATTACCTGAAAACAAAGCTGCTTAGGCAATAGTGAATATCTTATTAAAACTGAACGGAAGAAATGCAAAAACACGCGAAACATATTGCTCGTCGGATGTCATCTATTTTTGAGCAGCATCAGCAAGAAACAGTGGCTGGAAATAGCCAGAAGTTTTGAAGAAAGTTTACGAGGAGGTAAGCTTGTTAAAAACTTCGAAATGTTTTGAATGAATAATAACACAAGTATTGAATTCGGCTTTCGTTTGATGTGAAGAATGAATGCTGATCCCGGAGGCTGTTATCCACTCCTCGATCTGCCTAATTCTTCACATCATCCTCAGCCTCATTCAATAATTGTTAATTACTAGGACCATGAGTTCATAAGCACCTAATCGGTTAACCCTTTAAGACCCATTATCTAGGCTCAAATTCTCCAAGGTGATCTACATACACTTCCTTAAAGAATTTGTTGAGAGAATTTGAAAAAAGATCAAAGCATTTCCCCTTAGGTGATCATTTTTTATGATTCTCATAACCTTTTCTCTTCATTATAATTATGTTGATATTGTTAGCAGAAAATTGATGTTGGTCACTCTTATCAATTAAGCTACGCGCAAACGGACGCAACGACTCCCAACATTGTTGGCCCGATAATGTTGGGATTCGTTGCATCCGTTTGCAAGTAGTTGAACGTTTGCCCGGTTTCAAACTTTGCGCAACAACCCTCAACAACATGCAACAGGGTGCGCAAACGGACGCAACATATAATATCCAACAATTTTGGGAGTTGCTGGCCAACAACGTTGCGTCCGTTCGCACGGGGCTTTAAAGGGTTAACTTCCTGAAAGGGCCTGGGGAAGACAGTTTGAGACACCTGAGTTTGGGTGCATTAATCGAAGTGAAAATCGTGAAATGACACATCAAGTGATACACATACTCTCTTGTACTTTTGCCTGAAAAAAACAGCCGACATTTTGCGACGTCACCACTGGTTCCCCCGCGAAATGACGTCTGAGAAACGGGCGGAGAAATTCTATACTGATGACGTGTCACTACCAAGAACTAGGTAGTGCTTCTGATTGTTCATTCCGCGAGGGAAATTTGCTTCAACCAATCAGAAGCACTACCTTGATCTGGCTAGCGACACGTCATCAGCATGGAATTTTTGATGTCGTTTCACAGACGTCATTTCGTGGGGAAACCAATCGCGAAATATCGGCTGTTTTCGCAGGTTTTTTATACTTAAGATGCTTTGAATTAGCTGGCGGCTCTATTTCTGCCTTCTTTGTCCACCATTGCGCTAGTTCAATAGTTATATACGGTAAGCGAAGCTTTCGTGAAAAATCCATTTTATTGGAACACTCACGAAATCGGCGTGATACGAAAGCAGGTATTAAAGTATGAATCAATGTCAAATTTTTTAACTAATCTCTTCTAAAACAAACGAAAATGCACAAAACAAAATGTCTTATAATACTCTAAATATACGTTATTTCACAGACCTCTACAAAACAGACAAAGAGTTTCGCATACTAATTTGTTGCTAGTCATAAGTCTCCGATAACCAAAACCAGAACTCGATCATCCCAGCTTTCTGGTCTTGCACAAAATCTACAAAAAAAGTTACTCCCCATCCCATCGAAAATAGATGCGGTGCGTTTTTAGAAGCACTTGAGTTACACAGCGAAGGCTGTAAGAAAAATGTGTACAACCAAAAGAAAATAATGGAACAGAGATGGAATCTTAGGACATTGACCGGGATATGTAAATTTCACTACAGTTATTTTTAGAGATTGCAATTAAAGGGAAGTCTAATTCCTGCGGCGTTGGCACATTTCAATCGCTTATTTGAAACGTCATCAAGTCCACCTCCACGCGCGACGCTATTGTTTTTATTGCGATTACAACACCAAGACTGAATAAACGTTATTCTCTCTTTACAACACTGAATGAACGTCTGCGGACCTCTTCGGAAACCAATTTTCGTTTAATTTCAAGTGTTTAATTGGTCTAAAAATAACTTTGGTGAAATTCGCATATCCCAAGAACTGGACTGGGCATTTCCGTCTCTTGATTATTCTCTCTTGGTACAACAAAGGAAAGGTTTTGTTGCCTCAACCACAAATTGTAAATACATAATTCACTCGTTACTCAGCTCTGACTTGTTTACTGGAGTTACAGTCCTCTTGCCTTGTGTTAGAGTTTCGGGGAAATTCAACCGGGTTGTTTAACCCCGCAACTGCGTTTCTACCGCCGATCTAAAAACAAGAAGAAAATTGTTAGTCTTNGCGGACCTCTTCGGAAACCAATTTTCGTTTAATTTCAAGTGTTTACTTGGTCTAAAAATAACTTTGGTGAAATTCACATATCCCAAGAACTGGACTGGGCATTTCCGTCTCCTAATTATTCTCTCTTGATACAACAAAGGAAAGGTTTTGTTGTCTCAACCACAAATTGTAAATACATAATTCACTCGTTACTCAGCTCTGACTTGTTTACTGGAGTTACAGTCCTCTTGCCTTGTGTTAGAGTTTCGGGGAAATTCAACCGGGTTGTTTAACCCCGCAACTGCGTTTCTACCGCCGATCTAAAAACAAGAAGAAAATTGTTAGTCTTAAAATTCAGACATTTCTACAAATCACTACAAAATCACCCGTAATAGTATGTCCCGGCTAGCCGGAGAAAACAATCGACATTTCTCGAGGCCGCGACTGGATTCCCCGCGAACTGACGTCTGACGCAAAAATTTTATCCAGATCTGAGTAGGACTTCTGATTGGTCGTCCCGCTACGTAGATTTGCATCAACCAATTAGCAGCATTATCCAGATCCGGGCAGTGACATGTAATTAGTATGGAAATTCTACGCTCGTTCCTCACACATCCTTTCGCGGGGGAACCAGTGCTAGCGTCGCAAATTGTCGGCTGTTTTCTTAGGATACGTAACCCCGTCTTGCTAAAAAGACCTTCAAAAATACTATCAAAAATTACACCACTGAACTGGATTTATAAATTGATCTAGGTAAGGAAAATTATCGATAAACAGAACTGCGAATCCAACAAATGATATTCACAATTCATTATTTCAAAGTTTATCTCTATTATTTGTAACTTTAAATCATCAAGACGTATTGAAAGACATATTTGCCTGTCATAACTGTGACTTTGTCATTAAGAAGTAATCTTCGCTGACGTTAAACATCGTTGATGGATAACGGGAAAAACCACACAAAATGAACTAAACTGCAACAAACAATCTCTTTAACCCTTCAACTCGCCGAACTGGCTAAGTCAAAAATAGACGAAAATTCGAAATTTCATTTTGTAAAATACTTATAATCAAATAGTACCAAGTGAAAATGTACTGCTTGTTTCATTTGAATGGTAACACCATTTCATCCACAGACTCAAAAGCTAGAAATGCATACTGAATAAATACTACTATGTGAAAGTACTGCTGAAGAGGTTTCATTTGAATGGTAACACCAAAGGATTTCATCCACAGACTCAAAAGTTAGAGATACATACTAAATAAATGGTACCATATGATAGTACTGCTGAAGATGTTTCATTTGAATGGTAACACCATAGGATTTCATCCACAGACGCAAAAGTTAGAGATACATACTAAAATGTTAGAGTACTGCTGAAGAGGATTAGGCCATTTCCGAGTTCCCCCGGGCCTCTATATCAAAACGAGGTTAAGTGCTCAGCCTTTGATTTGGAAATGATTTTTCATTCTCATGCAAATAAAACTCATTTTCACAAGAAAGGTTGTGCACTTGGCCTCACTTTGAAAGTGAAGGCTCTTGGAACTCAGAAGTGGCCTATTTGAATGGTACACCATGGGATTTCGTCCACAGACTCAAAAGTTAGAACTACATACTAAATAAATAGTACCATGTGAAAGAACTGCTGAAGAGGTTTCATTTGAATGGTAACACCACGTATTTTGAGCAGTACTGCTATAGGTTGTCTCGAACCGCTTTTTCTATTCCAGGTATAAGTCCCCTCGAATAAGCCCACCCACTCCCGCTTTATAACCCCTCCTTGAATCCGTTAAGAAGATGTATAAGCCCAAGCCAATACACTCTTGCCGCAAACAAGACCTGGACCTCATGGTGGAACTTGCTCTGTGAGTTATCCAGGCCTCTTGACGAAGTTTATAAATAAATAAATACGATCGCTTAGTGCGTGAAACTCCCAGCTACAACTCCATTAACTTCTATCCTTTTCATTTGTATTTCGTTCTGCATATTTTTATGCAATGAGCACTCCTAGGATAAGTGAAACTATATAAGTAGATTTTTTTTGTTCATTTTAAATAAATAAATAAATAAATAAATAATTAGAGAGATAAATATACAAATAAACAAGATACTAACGGCCTGTCCTTTGTTTATGTCTGGCGGGGCTGCTGGTTTGCGGTGGCGCTGTTCCAGGATTTCTTGTTGCCGCTGCACTCATTGACAGAACAGGGGCCTTGCTAGCTGCGGCAGCCTGCTTCAGAGGCGTCCAGTCAAATGTGTAATCATATTGGTGGTTTAGTGTTCTGAAGAGAATTCTGTACAGTTGTCGGAGATACATGTAGTCGGGTGCTTCTTCGAACCGCAGCCCTCTGCAGTAGTTTAGGTACATGGCAAACTCCGCGTGACATCCCTAAGGAAACAGTTTAACCATAAGCCATTTGGAGGTCTCGCGTGACATTCATCTCTTGTCTCGTCACGCAACACTCCTCCCCAAGAAACTAGGGTAGGAGCATGAAAAAACAGCTGCTAAGGAGACTAGCGTGACATTCAATTAATGCTGCGTTGAATTGTACGAAGGAACTGTTTGGAGGGCGAATTTCAAGTTCGTTTTCCAAACTCGAAATGGACTCAAAACGAGCGACAGCGTCCCCATATAGTCTCGTACACAGCCGTTTTCCTCTCATCACGCAACGCTCCTCCCCAAGCGGAGGAGGAGAGGATAAGCGTTGCGTGACGAAACAAAAACGGCTACGTGGTGATGATAATGAAATTCAATACAACACTGACCTAAAAGTCTACTAAGCAACATCAAAGTATCCAACAAAGAGGCCATTTCAGAAGTTTGTTGCCGTTTCAATTTTTTTTTTCAACAACAAAAGAATGAAAAATATGAATGGCAAAAAATGGCAGCTTTTCCGCTTCTGGCCACTTGGGCTTCCTGCCAACCTCCCTTTGGGGTAGTTCCTAGACAGCGTCACACAACGTAGAGGACTGCTTCTTGCCTTGCCTTTTTGCATTGTTTACTGCAACAAAAACGTTGCCCAAATAACTGGACAGTCCGAGCCATCAAGCGCGCCGTAATAGGACAGTTGCGTTGACAGTTACTCGTGGAAGGTCATTCCACAAATCCCGAATTGGACTCCCACTACGCCGGTCCCAGAGGTTTTTCTTGAAATTTTTCTTCGGGAAAGAGAGAGCGAGCCACGAAGCGGCAACGAGTCGCGAGAAACTCCCACAGTCCTGTTACCACTACTTTCTGAACTTGCGAACTATGAGAGAGGGATTTTGCGGCTTAACTACCCGATATAGGGCAAATTTTCTATCAGTATATTTGCTGGGGCGGCTCGGCGGCTCGGTAGTCTCGACTGACGAGCCACCAAACCGTCAAGCCACTAAACTATATACCTTTCTCGTTCTTTAAGACGCTAACCTCGACTGATCGACGATCCATCGAACCAAAAAGCCACGAAAATATATACCTTTCCTTGCTCTTTAAATTTTATTTTTCTTATGTCTTTTTTATCTCTGTCTTATGCTTATATGTCTTATATCTTTCTCGTTTTTTAAACACTTGTCAGGATTAGCGAGCCACCGAGCCACTTCTGTTTATAGCCCTGTATTCGGTAGTGCTAATCTACCTTCATATCGTCCAATTTGATCTGCAACTCGTGTGATTAAAGACCGAATTGGACTCCCTCAGTCCTATTACCACTACATTGTACTTTCTGCACTTGCGAATTGTTCAGAGGGGGATTGTCGCATTATATAAAGATGTAAAATTTTACTTACTTTACAAAGAACGTCAACTGGAGTAGACATCTTTTTCTCGCTTATTTTCTCATACTTCTGTTTCTTTGTGGCAGCCTAAAATACAAAACCCATTACTCACACTTTTCTGCCATGCAGAGAATGTATACGCATTAACAAAGTGACACCAATACGATAAAAAAAAACACTTGAAAACGACCCATTTTAAGAAGGACAAGACGCTGTGTTAGCATATATTTGTACGTCTTTGTACTAGGCGTGTGTTTCTATGTGGATTAGCGATGGATCCTTGTCCAGAGTGGATTCATCAGTTCATTTGATCTACCATGATCCGAGTGATCTCGGATCACTGATCCTGATCCGGATCATCTCAAAGGAACGCACCCATGGTTGTTGTTCTTTCTTTTGCTCTTTTCGTTGTCGTCGCCACTTGGTTAGCATTACAAATCCCATTCTGATAACCAATATCAGCCGCATCCACACAACCATGACTGGGCGGCAAGAGCACTTTTTCCCATACAAATCCTTGTAATTTTCGGTAGCCGTTGTAAACGCTACTTTTGAGATATACAGCTGCAAATTTACAGGTCACCTAATTTTAATATGCTCTTTCAATTTGCTGCTAGCATCATTTTTCCAAAGCGAACTGTTTTAATGTTTACAAAGAGTTGATCACGTGATCAAATATTGCAAGAGGCCTATGGTCATGAGGCAATAACTATTTGGAAAAAAATCACTTGCTTATGGTTTTGTTAGCTTGTCAGTAACAGGCACGTTCTTTAAGTGTATCAATTTTCAATAAAATGCACTTGACAAATACCCTTTTTACCTTGAGACCCTGCCATGGAAGTTGCCCATTTGTAAAGTACATCAGTACATATCCTAGTGACTCCATATCATCTCGCCGCCTGGTAAAAAGAATTAACATTTCACACAAAATTGCAGGGACAACTCAGACAAGACCACAAAAAACAGCGCTAGTCTTCATTCCAGGCTATGTAGAAACTATACTGAATAGCTTTTCATGCCGACTTGAAAAGCTATTCGGTATAGTATGAACACCTATTCAATATGTGACTCTCCACTTTAAAGATTGGCACAGCATCGAAATCACCGTTGTTACATGTGATAGGGAAGCCTTATAAATCCGGTACTGTTTTCGTGCCGCCGTAAAAGCTATCCAGTATGGTGTGAACATAACCTCAGTCTGCTTTATTCTCCTTACGCTGACACAAACATGGCTGTCACTAATAAAGGGGTGGGGCAGGGTCGGAGGTCGGAGGCCAAGGGCCGGGGGCCGGAGCAGGGGGGCGGGGGCTGGGGACCAGGAACTGGGGGTTTCCCTTGGCTACCTGTACAATGAGCACGACCTTCAGCTACTTTGAAAGAAAACAAGAGGAGAAAAGAACATAAAGAGCACCCTAGTTTATTGCGTAAGTCAGATAACTTGAATTTTAGTGACAGTACTGAACAATAATATTACTATATGACTGTACAGAGTGGAGAAGTAGTTTTGTCACATTGCCATGGAAGCAAAATTCCTGGACGACAACAAACTGAAACTTCTATTAAAAAGTGAATTTGGGCTGTTTCAAACTTCATTGATCTCATTCAATATCATTTAATTTGTCAAAAAATGGTGAAATTTATAAGGGTTGAATCTAAAAGTCTGGAAAAAGAAAATTTTTGTCATGTGTTCACCTACTCCAAAAAGTGGGCGAGTGAAATTACGATTATGTTTCATGTCGCAGTCGTGCAAGGATGGCTAAGAAATGAACAAAAAAGCATGATGCACGTGCAAAGTTGTTGTTTTTCCTACCACTTTTTGGCCATTCTCATTGCCATCCCTGTCGTCCTTGCTTTAGCTCCTTGTTCTTGTGATCCAGAAATTTTGCAACTATGATAACGTGATGTTATACTTTTCATCTCTACCTTAACATTTTAAACTTACGATTGCTCAATTCCAAGGTGGGCATTTATGCTAGCATATCTTGCAGTGCCTGTGAGATTCTTATCTTCTCTGTATGATATATGTGCTTTTGTTCTACTGTCACGGTACTTCTTTGCNGAAAATTTTTGTCATGTGTTCACCTACTCCAAAAAGTGGGCGAGTGAAATTACGATTATGTTTCATGTCGCAGTCGTGCAAGGATGGCTAAGAAATGAACAAAAAAGCATGATGCACGTGCAAAGTTGTTGTTTTTCCTACCACTTTTTGGCCATTCTCATTGCCATCCCTGTCGTCCTTGCTTTAGCTCCTTGTTCTTGTGATCCAGAAATTTTGCAACTATGATAACGTGATGTTATACTTTTCATCTCTACCTTAACATTTTAAACTTACGATTGCTCAATTCCAAGGTGGGCATTTATGCTAGCATATCTTGCAGTGCCTGTGAGATTCTTATCTTCTCTGTATGATATATGTGCTTTTGTTCTACTGTCACGGTACTTCTTTGCGAGACCAAAGTCAATGATGTAAACCTATACAGAGCAAATAAAACAAACAGTGAAAAAAATCAAATCAAACAAGGGTCAACAAAAAGATTCCTCTAAAAAAATCACTAATTGTTTTTTTAAAGTGATTTACTATACCTTCATCAGGTGGCCAAACTGAGAAAGTTGCTTTTTGACAAGACACAAAACTTAAGACAACACTTAACTTGAACCTAGTCACTCGGCCAGTTTACCTTTTCTTAGCTGGTAAATGGTTTGACAAACTTTACACTGCATAAATTTTTAAAAATTCACAAAGAAAAATTTTATGAGTTTCATAATATTCAATCAATGTCTACATGTACATTCTGCAACACTTTCAACCCATGTTTTACATTTCATAAGTAATTGCAAGTATAAATCAATGTTGGATTTTAAATTACTTGCTACTGCACTTGTGCAAAAAAACCCATTGCTTATGCTTGCCCATTTTTTGTCCAAGTTAAAAAAATTGTCATCATCATCCTCCGATCATCATTATTACACTGTTAACAGAATTTCTATTCTCTCAATGCAAAAAATATTATAAGAGGGGAAAGAGCATAAGGGAGTAGGCATTGACTTCACACATGATAACCACAAATTGTAAAAAGTACCCTAATGTCAGTCTGGAAACAGTGACATCTGTAAACAAACAGGAGTCCATTTAATAAAACTATTACCAGTGTAATTTACAAATGCAGCTATTGTTCGTAGACACAAAAACAACAGGCACACTTGTAAAAGTGTTATTAAATTGGCCCCAGCTGTACTATCAACATTTTAATAGGGCATACCTTGTTACAATTTTTACCAGTGCCCATGAGAAAGTTGTCAGGTTTTATGTCTCGATGAATGAAATTTTTATTGTGGAAATATTCAATGCGACCGATCATCTGGAAGAAGAAAACATTTTTTGGTTAGAAGAAACTTGAAGACCAGCTGGTGAAATGTTGGGTGCAGCCTGCCCTACCCTCATGAGCAAGAAACACCATGAGGTATCCACAGTTACTGCGAACCACCATGCAAAATCATTTGCACAATGGCGTCATTTTACTACTACTACTACGGTATACTATTACTACCAGAATCCTTCCAGTTTTTGCTTTCTTGAGCAAATTGGGGCTTTTGTTATTTAATCCTCACTGGGATTACCAAATTCAAATATGAAAGAAAAAAGAAATGAATTCTGGTCTTAGTACTTAAAAGAACTCATCCTAATTGGGTTCCAGTTCGTCTTATTTTGTCTGCCCTAAAGGAACCTGATTCACTCATTTTCCTACAAGTAGCCCAAATCACAAAAATTCAGCGTCAATCTGCTTACATGCATTTGAAGAAAAACGTATTGCCACTGACATTAAAACCCTTTGTTATGATAAGAAGACTAATAGACTCTAATAGTGTCAACATACGCCACGACTACAATGCTTTGTGGGGTAACTACAAAAAGATGATAGACAAATGGTGCAAGATATTTACGAATAAGCAAAGAGAAAATAACAAATTCATGCCTCAAAAACATTTAATGGATGACAACAGTTACTGTCATTTGAAGATTATTATTATTTTAACCTGCTAGAATAAACATTCCTTCATATCCTGAAACTGCCAAAGACAATTTGAAAACAGGAAATTCCTGGCATTAAGGTAAGCATGCTTTGAGGCTGGAAATATTTTGAAAGAATAATAAAATAATACTAATAATAATACAGTTTTGGCTATTGGTTTCATCTGTTGCTATGGATGACAAGGACGCAAATGAAATAAAACTTGAGAAAAAAAGGGCAGTATTAACGCTATACAAGGCTTAGCTCCTAGTCGCCCAGCACACCAAAAATATCACAGTTTGTGCTCACTGATGAAATTTGTTTTATACCATCTTCATAACCCCCCCCCCCACCCCTACCACCCACAGGACAATTTTGTTTCTGGATAGGTAATGAATTTACCACAGAAATGACCTAAAACAATATCAATATCCTCATAAAATACATGTAGCCCCTTGCTATAATCAAAAATTATCTACCATTCTTACCTGATCAGCCAACATCAGCACAGTCTTCATTGTGAAACTTCTTTGGCAGAAATTGAAAAGGTCCTCTAAACTGGGACCCAGCAAGTCCATCACTAACACATTGTATTCCTTTTCCTGGCCAAACCATCTGTTTAGGAAACATAACAACAAAAGCAAATTATTTTAAAAGGACTGTTAAGTCATGAGTGGCACACAATAATCATTTATTATGGTTATTACTATGCATCTAACACTCCAGTTTTCGAAGCCAATAATACTGCAATAGCTGAAGGATAAATGATTGAATGCTGAGTTTTACAGGGAATAATTTAATAACGGTTCTTACACAGCGTGCCAAGAAAGTAGTGTCTGATAGCCCGGGGCTAGTGAATTTTGTTATTGGGCTAGTGAATTCTGTTTTTAACTTGCCCAACAGGCAAGTGATGTTTTTTTAGGAACTCCAATGACAGAAGAACTGTGAAATCAATTCTGCTTGTCAAAAAGCTTTTGGGGCTAGTTGAAATGACGTCTGGACTAGTAAATGTTAGCTTCAGCTGGCCCAAATGCAGGGTGCAAAGAAAATCACTTTTACAGCTTGCCCTTTGGGCAAGCTGAAGCTAGCATTTACTAGCCCAGACGTCATTTCAACTAGCCCCAAAAGCTTTTTGTTCTTCTGTTATTCAAATTCCTCATAAAACATCACTTGCCCATCGGGCAAGTTAAAAACAGAATTCACTAGCCCGATAGCAAAATCCACTAGCCCCAGGCTATCGGACAGTACTTTCTTTGCACGCTGAAATGGCAAGCTGTAAAAATGATTTTCTATGCACCCTGTTACAATTGATTAACCCTTTAAGCACAAATATCCACATACATTTCCTTACCAAATTTATTGAGATAGAAATCGATAAAAGATTAAAGCATTTTCCTTTGGTGATCATTCCATTAATTCTCATAACATTTTCTCTTGATGATATATTGATATTGTTGGGAGAAAACTAGTGTTCATCACTCTTGGCACTTTAAAGGACTAAATTTGTGCAGTCAATAATATTTGGACAAAGTAAATGCCTACTGAATACTAATGGCTTTCTGAAGAAATACGATTTTGAAATAAACACCAGCCTTGCATAAACTAAATCACTATATATATTATACATTTAGCCAATCATAAAAGCGGAGCATCTGATATCAATAATAAAAAAATTATGATAATAATAATAATAATAATAATAATAATAATAATAATAATAATAATAATAATAATAATAATAATAAGATTGGGATATAGCTTGATCCCTTGAGGAGACAAGGTCACCTTAATACAAACTAGTAGTGTGAGAATCATGATGATGAAATGCCTCATACTGCTGCAAAAACTAGCTCTGAGAATCATCATCAAATCTTGTTATGATGCTCATACAGACCCAATATTTAAGAATCTTCGCATCTTACTGCTAAATGATATGTATCAAACAGAAATAGGTAAAGTAATGTTTCAATATAAAAGTGGGTTGTTATCAGATATATATATTTAATAACACTTTTATATGAAGGAATCAGGTTCATTGTTTTTTAATTCACTTAGTCCACACATTCTAAGCTCAGTTTGTTATCAACTTTTAGGAAAAAACTGAAGAAGCACCTTGTTACTTAACTTCTTCATTTCCCTCCATCCCCCTTTGTCAGCTTTGTGTTTTGTCTTTATCCATTTATAAAATTTATTTTTTCTTTCTCTCTTTTTTTTTGATACCTTACTCCTTCGTATTATTGCCACTCTGCCTTCGCTGTTCATTAAATTAATATCACGTTTATCATTTATAATTTTACAGGGAAAGCCTAGTTGATTAAGCCTCATGGTTTCTTTGGGCTTTCTTGCCATATTCTGATGAATTCCTGTAATTTATTACTATCTCATAATAAGGTGGCAAAATAAGTAAAAATTAATAAATAGGATGATGATGATGATGATGACGATGATGATCAAGATGATGCTAAGCATCTTTTTTTTCACATTTGCAGTGCAACAAGTTATAAGCCAGTTGTAAAGACTAATCAAGGTGTGGTATTTTATCCCTTGGATATGGTGTCATTCTTTGCATTTGATGAATGGTGTTTATTCAGTGGGATGTCTAGTACTTATCATACCTGATTTTAGGAATACCAATTCCTCCTTGCACTATTTTATACAGTTTAGATTCATAAAGCAACTGAGGATGCCTTGCTTTGTGATGCTCAAGTTTCACAGCCACTTCCTGTAAGTGAAGTATACAGTGAGTAATGTGTACTTTTCCTTAGTCAAATGTGACTATTACCAAAGATTTCCAAAGATGTTCCCAGGATTTCCAAAGGTTGCCGAATGTAGCAGTGCAAAGCACCAAATTTTGGTGCCATCTTGCCAAGATCAGGCATATCTTAGCGAAAATACCAAGACGAGGTATTGTAAGACCTTAGGTTATGATTTAGGATTAAACGAGACATTTTGTGCCGTTCACTGGACATTTTTGCATGGACCTCATGTTAATAGTCACTGAACAAGTAGTCTGGAATTATGGGTTATGCATGTGAAGTAACCTGTATGCTTATGATTGACGTCCTCAATCTGCAGGCGTCTGAGACATGCATAACTAATGCACGTGAGTTGGCAGGTTTAAGTACTTGTTTTTATCTTGATAGGGAACACATGAAAAGAAGGCTTCATGAAAAAGAAATTAACAAAACGATAGGAAATCGCCTATTTTCATTGTTATGTTTGCATTTTCAGATTTGTGACTATCATATCATTTGGTTGATGTGTTGAGTCTCACACCTGTGGCCTAAAGACATCAAACTCATGCATCAAGGACAACTTCTCACGCCTGCTCACAAATTTGGACGAATAGTTCTTTAACAAATGATTGATAACGAAAATTCAATTCAGTTTCTCCAAAATTTTGCAAAAAGGTGCTTACTGATGACTTTGTCCCTTAACTGCGAATCACAACACGCCAAAATTGTTACCTTTTAAATAGCTTCGCAGGTGCTCAAAGGTTGTCAGAACATCTTTGGACATACAGCTGTTTCAAGAAAGGGTGTCGGAAAAAGTGCAAGCGACAATCCCGAAAGCTATTGTGGGTGGTTTTGTCTGCCCTGTTCTCCAGAGAAATTTGAAAGAATAGCTTGAGGGCCATGGACATATGTTTGCGAGTGTTCATGGAAGGCAACAAAAGTAGGTTCAACAGCTACAGTCGTTCAAAACAGTGTATTGATCATATCCCATATTACCTTTCGGGGTTGTCGCGGGCACATTTTTTAAGACAACCTTCCTCGAAATAGCTGTATATTTTCAGCAACATTTAAAAGTGCTTCTGAAGTCACTGGGACATTTACACAAATCCTGGTCATGATAAGATGAAAATTTTATGCAGTTGACTCAGAATAAGTTAGTAGGTATAAAATGGCAGCAAGTGGGATTTTAAAAGTGAAAGTGGCTGACAATCATTTCGATAATCCGGGGGATTCAAAATGTTTTATTCCCGCCTTGAGCAGAAAAAAGTTTGCAGTTTAGAACTCTTCAATTGATTTATAGGGAAGGGAATAAAAAGTTAAGTCATAAACGTTTGTGACAGTGGAGGTTTCCTTTTAAAGATGTGGGGTCGAAAATTAAGCTTATAAGCTTCTCATGGCATAGAAGATGGCTGAAATTTGTAGAATATTATTTCCTGGAGGAAGGATACCTAAGGTTCCCTTACAAAGATGGCCCTCTTGCCCAATATCAAGGGTTCTGGATCTCTTGCTGTGAGATGTCTTTCTAAGAATTTAATTAACACACGAGAATTTTGAAAAAGCCAATAAAAGTAAGGTGTATACAAGTTATGGCAGGAGGGTACACTTGAACAGAAGTTTCAATATTGATATACGACCCCGTATATTACATATACGAACCTCGCAATTTGTAATGTTAATTCCTTGGTAGATATCACCAAATGAGCCACTGCCAATCTTCCGTAACAATTTGTATTTCCCTCCTACGATAAACTCTGAGCGCGCTGCGCTACTGGGTTTCTGCATTTTTAGAAACCTATAAACAAGAAACAAACATGAGCCTCTAATAAACGCGAGAATATAAATACCATAAGCTTCATANAAGTTATGGCAGGAGGGTACACTTCAACAGAAGTTTCAATATTGATATACGACCCCGTATATTACATATACGAACCTCGCAATTTGTAATGTTAATTCCTTGGTAGATATCACCAAATGAGCCACTGCCAATCTTCCGTAACAATTTGTATTTCCCTCCTACGATAAACTCGGAGCGCGCTGCGCTACTGGGTTTCTGCATTTTTAGAAACCTATAAACAAGAAACAAACATGAGCCTCTAATAAACGCGAGAATATAAATACCATAAGCTTCATATGAAATTAACAAGAATGTCCGTATCATACAGAAATAATATCACGGCTTAAGCAATATGCAGTAGGTTTTCCCTTTTCCATTTGGTTTCCCTGAAAAATTAAGAGCAATAACTTCTGTTTACCTTGCAAAGGGTACAGTTTTATTAAGTAATTATTCCACCGCTGGGTTTTACGGCAAGAGCGGGCTGCGACTGATTATTCGATCAAGAGGTTTAAAATTACTATTAACTTCGAACAAAGGATCGCTCCTGTCAATTTGTCAATTATTATTTTGCGAGCTCAAAAGAAAAAAGAAACAGCCACTACGGTTACATTTGCGTCCTTCGACCCACTTGTTTTGCCATGTCTTGTTGTGGCTTATATTTTCATAAATTATTCAATTCATCTTTGATGGTCAGAACCCAGAAAACATACAAAAAAGTTCACGTTCATACACTCATAGATTTTTGTCTAGGGCTAATTCTTCCACGAACAATTGAAGACCGCCTTTGGCTTTCACAACTCTTTATAAAAAACAGATAAAATTGACCCAGAACAAGTGACAAAGGAACGTCACAGTGCCTGATCCGAACGAACTCTTTAGTGTTAATCATTTTTTAGGAAGATTTATTTGTCGGTTCAAGACAACTGTTTCTCTATCTACAATAAGTATTTCCTACCTTCAGAAGTGAACACCAATTTGTTTATGATCTTTGTCATGGGCTCTCGCCGGCAAAAGGCGAGCGAAATCTGTTTTTCGCTCACAAACTACAAAATTCTGAGATTACAGCCTAATCTCCATATTTCATCGAATGTCCTCCATGTTTTCTTTTCCTGTCCAACATAACTATTATGGGATGAGCAGTATCCAGTAGCAACGCAAAGTAATCAATATTCAAGATATCGATTACCGCGAACTCCAGGCAAGATGGCGGGCGCTTCCTCGAAGACTAGAGTCGTATTGCTAAGTTGCGGATCTTTCAATCCCATTACTTTTCTTCACCTCAGAATGTTCGGTAATGATATGGTGAAGAATCAATATTCTTTGTATGTGTCTTTGCCATTTTGGTCTGTTTCCGATGTCAATATTTTGCTTTCACAATTGTTTGTTGATCTGACAGAATTAGCGAGAGATGCACTTCACACAACAGGGATTTACTCAGTTATCAGGGGATTTATATCTCCAGTAAATGATGGATACAAAAAGAAGGTTGG